AAGTGATGCTACAAGATTGTGTGTCGTCTATTCCTGCTGTGATTCTTGATGGTCAAGAATTAGTTATAGTGGTATATTCGTCCTACTTTTGTAGTTACGTGAAAAATGGCGGTAGTGTGATCTACCACCCGCATTTCTGAGGCACAAGCAGCTTACGCAGGACTCAAACATGTTTCGTACAGACGCGATATTTCGTTGAAACTGATGGGTCGTGTCTACTGCTCCAGTATGCGGTCAGTTCTGCCTTATGGTTGCGAGACCCTAAATTTGCGCGTGGGAGATATTCGTCCTCTAGATGTCTTCAACTGCCGATGTTTGCGTAGTTTGGCGCTGGTTGGATAGAGCGAGCGAGTTGGTGACTCTGAAATAAGCCCTTCGCGTATTTGGTAATGATTTGATGGCGAGTTTATTGCCCCATCGAATTCAGATTAGTTGGCTTCGCTTTTTAGGACACTTATTACGCACGTCCGGTTATTGTCTACCGCACTGCACCTTATTCGCAGTTTCATCTTCAGTTTGGGGGGAAACCACGTGGAGTTGAGGTATGAAGAAATGCACAGCTATTCGGTAGAGTAGGTGTCTGCTTTCCCAGGATGTGATCTAAAAGAGTCTGTAATTGGTTGGTTAGAGACACGGAAAGATATGGCAACTAACCAATAGTGGTGACGTTCTTCATGCTATTTCTAATCATTTCAGAATGATTGAAAAGATATATATGCACAGCTAGATTGCGTACTCTGTGTGTTGACCATAGAGGTTCACTTTCTTTTCTTCCCTCCAACTACACCCGAACACTATCCATCTTGTACTTTCTCACTTATACTGTGTACATTGGGAGTTTGGTAGTGAACGATGAGGTTCACTTCACTTTATCTCGCTGCGCGATGATTCTGCTTTTCTATGGTCAACTTTGTCTCGCCTGTCCTTCGTGTCCTTCCAAACTAGAAGCTGCAAGTCTGGAGCATCCTACCGATCTCTGTTTCACACCTCTCCCCCCCTCGCCAAACACCGGTAATATTGATCTTCTCCGAACCAAGGTCAACCGGTTTGTCCTGACCGAAATTCAATGTGCCCACTTAACAGTATCTTTCTGTGATTTTTACCTTTTCATTGCACAACTTATCCGCGTAGAAATAAAAATATCATTTTATTACCATACAGCGATGAAAATTGCACTGTTTATTCCTTTTCACACCCCATTTGCTTGGAGTGCACCGTTTAATCATCACAGGTCACTTATTTTTCTTGTTTCCAGAAATAGTATTTCAATCGAACTTGACGATACTATCGTTTAATCCATGGCCTTGTTTACACCCACCAATCAGAAGCGCCTTACAAATGTCTCCGTAGTGAGACTCAAGAAAGGTGGGAACCGTTATGAATTGGCTTGCTACCCCAATAAGGTTCGTGCATGGAGAGATAAACTGTAAGCTTTTTGTGATCCCATTCCTAAAGGGTAGCGAAACCAATTTAGACGAAGTTTTGCAAACACACATGGTATTCTCTAACGTTTCCAAGGGGCAATTTGCGAATAAGAAAGAAATGTTCCAAATATTCCGAACAGAAGATGAAATACAAATTATCAAAACGGTAAGTCAAATGTGGCACTCGCTATTTTCGCAGATTCTTGAACAAGGTGAGCTACAGTTGACCGAGAAAGAACGGTCTGTGGAACAGAGCAGTTTATTTCGAGACGTTGCAAAACTGGTGTCCGAGAGATGTGTCAATACGGAAACCAATCGAGCGTATACGGTGACCATGATTGAAAAGATGATGAAAGATTGCCATATTTCACTGAAAGCAAACAAATCCGCGAAACAACACGTACGTGCTAGTTCATTTCATGCAATTTTTGTGCAGGCTTTAGAAGTAATACGCCAGCTTCGAGCGGTTGATGGATTCAAAATAGCTCCTGCAATGATGGAGGTTGTAATATCGATTGATAAAGATTGTATTGCACAAGTGAAAGAACCGTTGCTCGAGCTGTGCACTACGGTTCTACGACAAGGCATCGCTGAAACCGGGAGTTACGATTTGGTTAGTCCATGTTTTGATTTTTGTCTTTTTAAGTGTTATTTCTGTGAATTCCCCGAGTTTGGTAACGTCATATAACTCTAATTTTTTTAATGTAATATAAATAAAAGTTTTATTGTTTTTACTTCCCTTTTCATCGAATATACAAATGTACGGCCAACTTTCCGGAAGGGATTTGCGGTCATACAAAGGCTGCCTTGGGAAATACAGCAATGAGGAAGGTGGGCGGCGCTAAGTTAGGATCTCTAAATCGTCCTTTATAATGATCTCAACCACTTAGTCATCACCGGATATCAACCAACATAATAAAAGACAGCTTCGCTTCCACTCGGTTGTATACTGCTCCTTGTCTGATTGTATCTTCTTTTGTCGTTCACCCCACTATGAGTACTCGGACTCAGATTACTATCCCTCCTCCACATTTGACATGGTATATATATATATATATATATATATATTAATTCTCAATCTGGAATGTATCTATTCCATTTTTCATCACCCGATGGTTAATGATAGACCGGACAGTCATCCCCGTTGCACGAATGACGAAGTCATGCATAATTTTCTGTTTCTGATCTGTGACTATGATGAGTTTTTAATAGCTTTGATTGTTTCTTGACATAACTATTGCTCGGAAAATGCGCACTATAATGGTTTCTGTATACCGTAGTGTTGAGTACGCACATTGTCAGTATTACTTTTCATTTTACTTCCTATTTGGCGATTCTTTTAGTGTTATCCACTGGTATTTTCGGGTACACATTGTTGATGCCTATTCGTCCGTGATGGTTTATAAGTGGTTCAAACATAAACCTATCTCCGGGCGGAGGTTGCGAACGAGTTGACGAGGATATCCGTACGATCTTCGAATGTGTAATTCAGACAGAATTGCCATTCGCGATGTCTATGGCTCCAGCTGGATATATCCTTTTGACTGAGTAGGAATGTGTATAACGCACTGGTTGATATACGGCTGTGCAGTTTGGCCTTGACGAGTATATGATGTCCAACAACTGTTTGTTTAAGCAGAATTGCTCGTGTGTGATGAGAGCGTCGCTTATGTAACAACAACCTGTCGAGGCCTTATGTGATTCACCACTACAAGTCCCGAGGTTTAGGTTATTGGTTTCCATCACTGAAGAGCAGGTCCTCGTTACTATGGGGCTTACCCCGTCCACTGTTCATCACACGAAGTGTGTGATAAAAAAGTCGAACAACGTGCATTGAGAATGGACGGAATTCAAGAAAGCCCATTTCATTATACCATCAGAGGGGACTGAGTTTCTCTCTGCGTTTTTATTTTACGAAGTGAATACACTAAAATGGGTAAGCCCCATAATCTAAGGAACTCCAGTATATAAGAGGACAAAGGGAACATTCAAATTATAACTAGTTTGTTGATTCTACATTTAAAAATAAGGGTGTTGCATGTTCGAGGGAAGAGGGGGAGTATTCCTTAGTTGTACTGTTCTTGGGAAAAAATGATGAATGAAGGTTAGAAATGCAACACTTGAAATCGGTGACCATCCGCTTCTGTAAGGGACCTACGAGGAAAAAAATTGTCCGAGGAGCAAAATAGTCAAGTTTGCTAAAGACAAACAAAATAGTATCGACAGAATCAGAATAGCGGAGCGACTGCTTGCCGGTGAGCCAGTTACTAAAAAGTATAAGTAAGGGACTGATTGTTTATGGGATGAAGGACATTACCTCGAGCCAGACCAAGAAGAGAGAGGTAGACAAAGCTCTACCTCAACCCTAACTGTAGTATTTGAATGCAAAACAAATCTGAGCTTTGTAAAGCAAAAGGAGTTGGATGGTATTGAAGAAACATGTAGCGTGGAAGAGGAAACCAGTTTTGCAAGTAGTGTATGAGGCAAGTGAATAAATATACGGTGACTATAAAAGAGAAGAAAGCA